AAAAAAAACTCTCTCATGTGAAAGTATATAACTAACAGACTATGATTCTTTTTTTTACAACTTGATTGACTGGAACAGCGATCTCAAGCAAGGCACAATCAACTAATACGCTTTGTTTGTCGTCTCCCTTCGGACGTACCCTAGGAAAGAACAACAAGAGTCGCCTCCCCCGAGAACAACTCGAAAGCAACAAGCCCTTCCTATTCTAATAAGTGGGCTTGCTTTTCCCTGAGAGACAACTTCCCAAACCATAAAGAACTGGACGCCCCTACCCTATCTGATTAAAGCTAAAGGTGAATTGTGTTGGGTTGTATTGATTTGTGTTGACTTGAGTTACCTAAGTCAGGCACATTTTCCATNATTTAGGTTCCAAACCTTGCTTTTCTCTAGAATTGAGAATCTCTCCTCTGATTACAAGCAAGATTTTTTAAGAATTGGAGGATCTATGGAGCTCGAATTCAAGGCTTGCTATGAGGCCTGCATGCAAGTCTTGAATAGATATTTAATACACTCCCAAATCNTACCTGCAGTACGTGTATCTGTGCAACAAGTCAGATAGATATTGATACAACGAGTACATATATTGACCCATAAAAAAGACTAGCAGGAAAGCACACAAAGCCAACAACACTCTTAATATAGCTATCACCTTGCTGAGCTTGAAGCCTTTTTTTGAATCCTAAAATGCTCTTGCTCCTTGATTTCACATAAACAGCGGAAGGATTTATATCCAACCTAAACTATCTATCCTTAGAAGTAGGGCAAAAGAAAACCTACAAAGGGGGACACCCGAAATTCATTGAAGGAAGAATATTACTATATGGGAAAGTCAAATATCTCTTAATAAAGAAGCAAAAAATCTTAATAAGGAAAAAAAAAATTCTAAGACACCTTTTGCCGCCTGCTTGGAAAGAAGAATAGATTGATTCACCTAGCCGGGAAGACAGAAAGGACAGAGATATAAAGCAATATAGCCTGCTCAGAAAAGAAAGCACATCTTGCATATCGCATCGCATACCGGATATCTCATACCTACTTGAGAAAGAGTATCGGATATCGCATATCGAAGACACCTGCCCTTGACCTGTCCTATCTTAGAAAACTATATCATCAAAAAAACACAAAACGGATATAGGGTTTCTTACCGCTTGACTTGCTTCTAGGCTTACAAAGAAAGGCACATCGCATGGGTTCCAAACCTTGTTGACTACAAGCGTTGACATACCACCGTTTGACTTTTCTTTCTTAGGGCCCGTTCGCGGCGCACTCCTATTCTCTCAACAAAGCTTCTTTAAAGGGAAGCCCTTTCTATCCCGCTTCCTCAAACATGGACTTGCATATCTATCTCTTACTCAAGCAAAGCAAGCTATTACTAAAGCAAGGCCACTAATAAGAAATAAGAATAGCGCTCTCGATGTCCTCTGTTACCTTTTGCTTCCTTGCTTTTATGGCGAGCTTCCCATTACTCATCTATAGGGCACGACACGGCAAGAAAGATTCATTACTAACTGACCATAGAGAGGGAAGGTTCTTTACCAACACCACTCTAGCGAAACTGACAACTAATAATCATAATGGCGCTTCCCTTGCCTCTGTTATTTGGGGGTCATATGTTGACTCTCTCTTTCCTGCTCCCTCATACACGGAAGACATCCATCCTTTTGGAGCCCTATTAGCTTTTTTAGTAAGCCCTTTCGATTCGATTATTAGTAGGGACATTAAGTGAGATATCAATTCCTTGTCTTCAAGTAAGATAGAAACCTATTCCCTTTATGACCTAAAACAAGCTGACCTCCGCATTTGGATTCCTATTAAGGGCAAGAGTGAGACTTGTCTATTCCTACTAAAGGAAAGAGAAGAGTGACTTAGCTACCAGAGCAGAAGGCCAGAAGGAATCCTTTACTTACCTCTAGGAAAGATCTCTTTACTTACGACTCTTGAACTTGAAGGTGGGCGGGAAGTAGATATTCACTGACTTAGAGCCTGTCAAGTGGAGCCTTTGGAACCTTTACGTCTATAGGGGCTCCACAGGAGGGAAGAGATAAAATGAAGACTATTCGCCCAGAGGGAATTAAAGCAACTTATTTCCCCCTTTGGGAAAATATAATGAACTTGGTAAGAGCTAAATAGAGGAGGAAAGGAAGAGATTTAACCCCCTATCTATAAAGATTAGAAGTTGGGTTCCAAACCTTGCTTTTCTCTAGAATTGAGAATCTCTCCTCTGATTACAAGCAAGATTTTTTAAGAATTGGAGGATCTATGGAGCTCGAATTCAAGGCTTGCTATGAGGCCTGCATGCAAGTCTTGAATAGATATTTAATACACTCCCAAATCTCTTGAGTTGTAGCGAGCGTTATTTTCTGCTTCCGCGGTCAAATCTACGATCCTTGGCCATCTTTCCCTTCTGACTATGTGAATTCACCCCTATCTCTAAAAGGGCTTCTAATTGTTTTCTTTTTTTTTTTTCCCAATGTTAAAAGGAACAATAGAAGAAAAGGCTGACCAGCCAACGAAATTGACAAAAATACATTCTTTATCGGGGGACCATGCTCTCGGGAGAAAGTAGTGATGATTGCCTCTCAATGGAATTCCTTTTCGGGGGAGATTTCTTTGANCACAAACATGGACTTGCATATCTTTCTCTTACTCAAGCAAAGCAAGCTATTACTAAAGCAAGGCCACTAATAAGAAATAAGAATAGCGCTCTCGATGTCCTCTGTTACCTTTTGCTTCCTTGCTTTTATGGCGAGCTTCCCATTACTCATCTATAGGGCACGACACGGCAAGAAAGATTCATTACTAACTGACCATAGAGAGGGAAGGTTCTTTACCAACACCACTCTAGCGAAACTGACAACTAATAATCATAATGGCGCTTCCCTTGCCTCTGTTATTTGGGGGTCATATGTTGACTCTCTCTTTCTTGCTCCCTCATACACGGAAGACATCCATCCTTTTGGAGCCTTATTAGCTTTTTTAGTAAGCCCTTTCGATTATTAGTAGGGACATTAAGTGAGATATCAATTCCTTGTCTTCAAGTAAGATAGAAACCTATTCCCTTNTATAGTACCTTCACCCCTTCTTGTCTCAGGATCTTGAATCCTTTCCTCTGCTTGACTTGTATTAGTAGGCGTTCTTCATCTAAAGGCTCTTCATATCATGAACTTGTCAAAGTCAAACTCTTCTTGTTGCGGGAGAATGTTCTGGTAAGCTCGTCAGGTGCTGGCGTAAGTAGTAACTCCTACCATTNCTAGAGCAGAAGGCCAGAAGGAATTCTTTACTTATCTCTAGGAAAGATCTCTTTACTTACGACTCTTGTACTTGAAGGTGGGCGGAAAGTAGATATTCACTGACTTAGAGCCTGTCAAGTGGAGCCTTTGGAACCTTTACGTNCATTGCTAAAGCTTTCTCTTTAAGGCTTTTCACTCCGATTATCGTTATTCAAGCGGTATCACAGAGAATCTTTCCTTTCGTCCTTCTGGCAAGGGTTTGAAAAGGGGCTTGGTAGCTAGGAAAGTCAAGTCAGGGAGGAAGGCGCTGTACTATTAGGCAAGTAGCGGTTGTAGTCTCGGCTTTCTTCTAGCTTTGGAGATTTTTTAATGAGACTTTAGGATTCAAAAAAAGGCTTCAAGCTCAAGTGCAAGCTGAGTAAACTTGTTCAGCTTTACTGCAAGTCTAAAGAAAGAAAGGGAGGGGCAAAGTCCACTCGCTATTAGCTCGCTTAAATCTCTCCACTCGCATAGTAAACAGCGCTCGCCCTAGTCAAATCCAGATCTTGTTCCTTTGCGAGCGGAAGTCAGAACAAATACCGAGACTCCNAATCGCATAGTAAGCAGTGCTCGCCCTAGTCAAATCCAGATCTTGTTCCTTTGCGAGCGAAAGTCAGAACAAATACCGAGACTCCTTTCTTTTACGCCTTATTAGTTATGAAAGCGGTTTGTTTGTAATGAAAAGGAAAGAGAAGGCGGCTGTAGAGATAGAGTCTTTACGGGCAATGAAAGCGGTAGGGCAAGTGAAACATTCTATCTTTGTCAGGCTTAAGGTAAAGGGCATGAGAGAAAGAAAGTTCTTGTTTCTGGGCATATCGATGGGAATAAGAGCAAGCGGTAAGTGAGGCAATTCCTTCCGGTAGTGGATCAGAGTCAAATCTCTCTTTTCGGAAGCGAAGTCGTAACTTATACCGTTCGAAAGGCGCTCCAGCCCTTATGGATAAATAGATAGAACCGTTGTTTCTTTGCGGTTACGGTAAGCAAGTCTATTAGTACACAACACTCGTTTANCATTTGAAAGGCGCTCCAACCCTTATGGATAAATAGATAGAACAGTTGTATCTTTGCGGTTATGGTAAGCAAGTCTATTAGTACACAACACTCATTTATAAAAGGCGAATAACTTACTTTACTGACGAGCGTGAGAGCGATGTGCTTTGTCTTTTGGTTTTGAACTTCTAAGAGCTTTTAAGTCGGAACTCAAAGCTAGTGCGTTAAGCAAGCTTGTTTGTTGTAAGGCTATTGGATCAGAGAATTCCCTCTTTCAGTTTTGCTCACCCTACTTCTAAGGATAGATAGTTTAGGGAAAGCAAGTGCTGTGATGAGATCTGTCTTTCGGCTTGGTCGAGGACACCATTACCTTGTTGCTCGCATCGTGATCGATGTAGATTCTTCCTCTCTAGAGCCCCGACCGGTCTTGACTGGAAAGCTTTCAGACCCTTGTGTGAGCAAGTTATACTAGCAACTTGTTGTGTCATGTCCGTTCTCGTTACACATATGATATGGTATCTCTTTATCTTAAGATCTCTTTTGCTACTGGTGCAATCACCTCTCAGGAGGTTGAAGTTGAGCCAATCTCTCTGGTGAAATGTCTAGGGTGACATGTGCATTCTGAAATATTTCCATCATTTGTTCCAATATCTCATTAAGGGGGTGCTCTTAAGTTAAAAGAAGACCTAAGATCGAAATTTGGGCGGGGACTTTGTTAAGCTGTTCGGCTACATTCTATTCCTACCTCTGGATTTCCTTGAGAAAAGCATCCGTTTTTTCCTTCCCTTTTTTCTTTTCTTTATCTCTATCTGTTTTCAGGTTGTCTAGCTTAAAACATCCGTCAGAGCGAGTCATGTTCCCAATCTCATCACAATCTTCCCTTTCTCTCTTCTCCGTATCTGTTTTATTAATTCCAAGGGACTCTATCAAGATTGTAGACGGGAGGTGGTTGGTAAGGGATAATGATAGGTTGTGGTGCAGGTAGGGTGAGGGGTTGAGGAGGGATTTGAATCAAAACTAGATTTTGGGGTCAAGGGCCTCTAAGATTATGCTTCGCCCTGTCACAATTCATCCCTTACAGAAAGTGAAAGGCACGCAGCAGTCTAATTCAAGTTCTCATGCTCCGTCTCGTTCTTATAGGAATAACAGTTTAGTGTGATAAGAATAAAGAAAGAATGGCAGCTAAGCTCCGTTAACCTGGGAATTAGGGTTCTCCTAAACAAGTTACGTGTGCTAACTACTCTTCTTTTTGTGCTTGTGTCTTCGTCTTCTGTGTGACAACTGTGCCAAAGCCTCATAATTGACCGAGAAATCCCCTCTGGCTGATTCCCATGAATAGATAAGGCCAGACAACAACAGATGGAGAGAAAGAGGTGTGTAGTTAAATGGATATGAGACTGCCCCTTCCCTTGAGATTGGGAGGGAAGTTCCGTCTCATCTCCCTAGTTCAGTGCAATCTTATGTGCCCCATTCCTTCCTCTTTCACTTTATAGGTTCGGTTCTTCGCTCGATTCCGACGAAGTCATGGTCTCAGGTCCTTCCTAAGTAATACCCCATTCATATGGCTCCAAGCGTGCTGCCTTTCCTAGTCTTCCAGCTCAGCTGGCTGCTTTCTCATTCGTGCCATTTGTGATTTTCCAAAAGCGTCTGCCCCCCTATCACACACAATAAGGTGACCCTTGCTTGTCTTAACCCTCAAGTAAATAAATAAGCAAGCAACCTTGCATTTCTTCCAACTCAAAGAGGTGATGCGCCTTCCTGATTGTCCCCATTGAGAGATGCTGGAAGTTGCGAGAAGGTGGTGTCCCCATCCCAAGTTCTTTTGCTTTGGCCTCTTTCATGCCCGATTTCCTAGAAGTGGAGATGTCCCCGGTCAGTCCGATGGATTTCCTACCAACAGGGGACANGAAAGTTGCGAGAATGTGGTGTTCCCATCCCAAGTTCTTTTGCTTTGGCCTCTTTCATGCCCGATTTCCTAGAAGTGGAGATGTCCCCGGTCAGTCCGATGGATTTCCTACCAACAGGGGACAGATGAACTGAACTCAAGAGCAGTCCTTTCATTCAATGATTTATGGGTTTGAAGATTATGCTTGTCACATTCATGCGAAAGAACTTCACTCTGGCACGGGCTAGTCATATTCATTCTCGTTATCAATCTGCTTATAAATCTAAAATCTGAGACTCTTAGATCTAGAAAGGAAAGAAAAAAAGTTGTTCTTTCTGGAAGTGCCCCCTATCAAGAGCCGAACCATTAGCGTTCATAGCCTGCAGGTCATTTCACCAATGTGTCACAAGTTAAAGGTGAACCCACCAGCTTCAATTGGTGTAGCCAACCACGTGTCAAAGGTAGCCGATTCGTTGAAAAACAAAAAGGAAGGTCAAAGCACGGAGTCCTGTGAAGAGGTTCTTTCACTCTTTGGTAAAGTGTTCGATCTCTAGGAAAGGCGAGCAAAGAATCAAAACCTTGCCCTTGATAAAAAGAGATTGTTGCTTTCTTCCAGTGAATAAGCGGGATCCATCCCTGTCCCCGGATTCTTCCCGCTTTGTTGAATTGAATAGGTTGCTCTTTCTCGATCCGATCTCCTAGAGGAAGTGAGTCGCGAATCTCCTTGTTATGATGAGCGGGCCTTCCCTTCCTTCTATCTATNCTTGTCCCCGTATTCTTCCCACTTTGTTGAATTGAATAGGTTGCTCTTTCTCGATCCGATCTCCTAGAGGAAGTGAGTCACGAATCTCCTTGTTATGATGAGCGGGCCTTCCCTTCCTTTTATCTATTAGGTTTTCAATCCTGGATCTCTTTTTGTTCCTCAACTCCGTTAATCCCAACATTCGAGGTTCTTTGTCGGATTGCAATCTTTGATTCGGACTGTGAAACCCAATCAGAATGAATGTTGGTATTGCGCTTGCATCGCCCATCCTCTTTCAATCTTGTACTAGAAAATACAGTTATTGAGCTTCCCTTTCCTACGGGATCCGAGATCGGGTAGCAGCTCATTATTCGAATAAATGAAAATACATAATATCAATATAATAGCCCGCTCCTGGATCAGATGATCTTGATTGAAAGAGGCAAGCCCTTTGTAAGTGAAATAAGGGATGATATCCTGACTTTAAGAGGAAACCCGAGAGCGTTTAGGATTGAATCTTGAATCTTGGCAGAGTTAGCCCAGAAAGACAGATCCTGATATCAGCGCTTACCTCAATGACGGGAGAGAGAGGGATGGTTTTTGCCTTATTTACAACATAGGAGGGAAGGAACAAAGACTATTTACTTTACAGGTCGCTTAATAGTCTGATAGTGAGAGAAGTTCATCCCTTACATAATTCCATTCGGTCAGGAATAACAAGATGAGGAAAGAGTCTTAATATCTATAAATAGTCTTACCCTTGCGCTAAGCAACAGGAAGACTAAGGCTAGCTATCCGCCTTCTTTCTTTCACTTACCGGACCGGATAGTTACGTAGGCACTTGACCTTTAGTCTCAGGTTCAAGTCTCAGTTCCGCTTGAACTGTACTCGCTAACGGAAAAACAATTGTTTTCTCTAAGTCGATTCCAAGACCTTTTTTTCAATTGGGTATGAGATTTGCCCTACTCGATGAGAGTACCGCTTGCTAACAAAAGTCGTTTGTCTACTAGCTAAAGTTCCGCTTTCCTTTATCTTTTATTCTGCTTGGCTTGCAACAAAGACCTTGACTTTCAAGTAGTACTTCCCGGAACAATCAAAGAAGTAGCTTTTCTTCGAGTGCCGAAACTGTACGCATCTCCCGACATTTCACTAACGGTTTTCTTTCTCTAAGCTAAGTAACTTGACTTGAACAAAGACCTTCTTACCTTTAGGGCTTTCCCGACTGCCTTTTAAAAAAATGGTAACTTGCTCGTGCAATTAGGCTCTTTCCGATTAGCTAAGGAATGAATAATTCAAAAGTCATTCATAGCAAGGGCAGTGAGTTTCTCTCGCTTTCTTACTATTCTTAGGAGGAAGACAAGTAGTGGATTGTACTGGGAATCTTAGTATCCTGTCTCTTTGGCTATTAAAGATATATATCCCAATAGTAACGATATTCATCGCCTCTGTTACAGAATTCATGGTCAATCCGTTTTCGGGAAGACGATTCAGTGCATCAAATCAAAGAGACGATTGAAAATACCATTTGAGCTAGCCTTGTGATAAAGGAGAGTTCCAAATCATATTGAGGAAGAATCAAAGTCTTATCTNCATTTTCGGGAAGACGATATAGTGCATCAAATCAAAGAGACGATTGAAAATACCATTTGAGCTAGCCTTGTGATAAAGGAGAGTTCCAAATCATATTGAGGAAGAATCAAAGTCTTATCTGTAACCAAGAAACCTTCTCTCGTTGACAACCCTGATGCTACACATGTGTCATATATACGCGTGTAACATGTGAATATGTTCATTCACATGTTCACATCAGTGGTAGCTTGACCAAACAACAATTTATCCCTTCTCTAATAGCACGTNTTCTTATGTTCATTCACATGTTCACATCAGTGGTAGCTTGACCAAACAACAATTTATCCCTTCTCTAATAGCACGTCTCATTCATGTTCAAAGCAGACTGTCTTCATGCTCAATCAGTAGCAAGTTGACTTCATCCCCGGGGACCGGTCCAGTAGAGGACCCTTTGGGCGGAAACGACTCTGTTATCTTGCATTCCTCATTCGCATTAGAGACAGACAAGCTTTCTTATNCTAATCAGTAGCAAGTTGAATTAATCCCCGGGGACCGGTCCAGTGAGGACCCTTTGGGCGGAAACGACTCTGTTATCTTGCATTCCTCATTCGCATTAGAGACAGACAAGCTTTCTTATTCGAAAAAGAGCTCTAGAAGTTCAGCACCACACGACCAGGTTCTCTCATCTCTTAATTAAGATATTTAGAAATCGAGAATCGTGAGACTCGCCCAACCTAGTAAAGGGGCTTGAATCGGTATTTTGTTTAGGGATAAACCCTACTAAGGAAAGGATGAGATATAGCGTTAACTCCACTTGTTGGTATTCGTTGGGANCTAACCTAGTAAAGGGGCTTGAATTGATATTTTGTTTAGGGATAAACCCTACTAAGGAAAGGATAAGATATAACGTTAACTCCACTTGTTGGTATTCGTTGGGACGCATGCTTGGCTAAGAGTTCTAACTGCTCTAGTTGAGACTGCTACTAGCTTTCCAGCCACTGGATCACTAAAAGCTAATAATAGGGATCAAAACCTCACTGTCCTTATGAGTGGTAGTTATACGATTTGAATGTGTTAAGCATAAAACTAGCCTTAGTTCTTAGCCTGGATCCAACTCCTCTATGCTAGTTCCTTCTCCCTCTCTTTTTCGATATGGCAAGAAGACCTAACGGAACAAAGCCTTTATAGGAGACCAGGATAGATAGTAGGTAGTTAGCCCTCTTGCTCTTAGATNCTAGGATAGTAGTTAGCCCTTTTGCTCTTAGATTACTCCTTTGTGTAGTAAGGATTCAAATCAAATGAATTACAACTAAGAGCTAGAAGTAGATAAGCATAGGATAAGTAGTAACTACCTATAGAAGACTGCTTTCACTGGCCTTAGAAAACTACCAGCACAGGAAGGAAGGGAAGGGCTGTTCTGACGAGTCCTCGGCAAGAACTTATGGAGATGGAGCCCTAGAAAGTCAAGTTAAGAATTCCTAAAGAAAGACCCCTTGTGCCATCCAGCTCTCCCAACTACAAAGAGAAGACAGCCTAGCGTGCTCTAAACCTNTAAAGAGTCCTCGACAAGAACTTATGGAGATGGAGCCCTATCAAGTCAAGTTAAGAATTCCTAAAGAAAGACCCCTTGTGCCATCCAGCTCTCCCAACTACAAAGAAAAGGCAGCCTAGCGTGCTCTAAACCTCCAGTCAACTAGCTACTTGCCTCAGTTGTCTCCTGAAAGAAGCATGCAATCCGTAGTAGCTTATTCTCTCTATTCTGACTATTCCGTTCTACTCGACTTAAGGTTCGGTCCCCGCATCGATCCATCCTTTCTATCTTCAAATTCCATATCTAATGACATTTAGACATCTCCTTTTATTGGGAAGTAAGGTACCTCGGATGTCCAACCTTTATATCTCTTCCTTCTCAAGATAGGCTAACGCGCGACTTATAGCACTTTGAAGCTTGTTGGGTAAAGGATCGTGTCCATCCATAAGGCTGATGAGTTATGTCTGGTGGCCATACTTTGATCACTCTGTATTGGTATCCTCAACATCTTGGTTTTCAATGGGACATGGGAAGAGCATGTGCAAAGTCCCAGATCTGTTTTGGATGCTTGCCTTGAAACACGAGGCTGAACTTGAAGAAGTGTGAATTCGCCAGTCCTTAGTATATCCAGGGTATGTTGGTTGAGGAGGACAACTAAGATCCGGAGTGGAGGCCATCATGAAGTGGCCAAGACCCAAGCCCTACAGAGGAATGAGTAAGGAAAGAACGTTGGAGTTTTGGTGGTGCCACCTGAACATTTCGAATTCTCCTGCAATTGCAACTCCTCTACGGAAAGTGCACTCATCAGAATGAGGAAATGGTGTGGGGTAATGCTAAATAAGGGTCCGCAGATGAGTTAGAGAATCATCTTTGTCATGCGGATTCTACCAGATCCCTTCCAGTTATCTTTCAAGCAATCGGAGGATCTTGAGCCAGTACAGTAAGTCTTGCTTCCTTCGGGGCTGTGGGAGCAGCGTTGTTGCAGGGAAAGCAACCTGTATGTTACCATAGTGACTTGGCTTTGGGGTGGTTTTCCGGGGCAGTCCTCAATTCTTTCACGTATGATACGACCTTGTACAACCCAATTCAGTAAGGGAATAAGTGGGTGGAAACGCTACTTGAAAGCTTGGGAGATAAGCAGCGATTCACACTGATAATTAGCCATTGAAGTCTTTTCGAACGCTTCAGTAGGCCTAACGAAAGGAAAGAAAAATGAATTCCTTCCAATTGAAAGTCCATTAACTAACAACAACCGACACTTCTGGCTGAAATGTTGCTTTTTGAAAAGAGACAAGAAACTTCCATCTTTTTCCGGATTACTGGGATGGGAGTCAGTACATCCTTCTCTTTGTTTGACGATTCCGCTAGAAAGCTGAACAATCCTGAGAATGATTCTAGGGAGAAGGACAGGCCCGGTCAAACCATGGATCTCCCCAAGTAGGATTCGAACCTACGACCAGTCAGTTAACAGTATACCACTATACTAATCAAATAAATGGTGGAGCAATTTCCTTTTTCTTAGCCTTAGCCTTAGCCTTNGACCCAGTCAAACCATGGATCTCCCCAAGTAGGATTCGAACCTACGAACAGTCAGTTAACAGTATACCACTATACTAATCAAATAAATGGTGGAGCAATTTCCTTTTTCTTAGCCTTAGCCTTAGCCTTAGCCTTAGCCTTAGCCTTAGAAAATCAAAGAAAATCAAAGAAAATCAAAGGGGTTCTCTCTCTCTTGATTAAGCCATTTTTACTGGCTCAAGCCNTGCCTTATAGGCTTTTTCCATTATTTATATCTCGCCCTCCTTATTGACGAAAACATAACAAAAAAAAAATGGAATTGTAAATCCCCTTTTCAAAGTACTATCGCTGTCACTTTTGCTACCAGATCTAACTCATCCACTATTTTCTTTTAGTGCTTCGGAGGTATTGGAAAGAACTACCTCTCCCTTCATCACTGCATAGGCTGAATTTTCACACTTCGGGTTCGGCTTCCACACACGAGTCGACCCCCGTAGCTTCGGTCCCGTATTGTCTTCAGCATCTTTCAACAATAAAGGACCTTCGTCTTCTCCTGTACGTCCTTGTTGTGAATGTTGACCAGTCTTCTAAGGACTCCTTCTTCGTACTGTTGAACCTTGTACACTATTGAGAACTATCGCCCTGTGACAATTCTCTTCCCACAACAAAGGGCTCCACCACTCTTGAAACAGTCTTAGATTGACTAGATCTACTTTCTGCCTCCTTTGACTCTTCTTACTTGAGAGAAAGATGAACCTCGCCTCTAAGCTCCTGATAATCTGGCAGTACAGTCTCTGACGTCTTTCTGAGAGAGGAGCTACGGACAAAAGTGGATAATCAGGCCATTTTCCTTTATCATTTGACAAGATCTTTCATCACCCCCTCTTATCATCATAATGACATGCCAAAAAACGTAGAAAAATGGGCAAATCAACTAAAGACCTCTAAAAATAGGAAGCTTGCCTTCACGCCTACACCCTTAGACAAGTCATCATTCCTCAGACAGTCAATCGCTTCTCTCTCGATCATATGTCAATCGCTTAGTCTTATAACGAACGGTTATATAAGCGGGATCAGGTTTAGAAGGATCTTTAACAATCCCACAAACCATAACCCCCTTACCCGCCTTCGGCTGGAAAAGGCCGACAGGCGAGACCAAGAAAGACGTGCCATCAACTCCACCAAGAAGCCATGGACCAGATCTCTCTGATCCAGATGAATCTTCTAGGATCGGACACCTAAAAGAGACACCTAATTGACCCACCAAATCAAAAATCTTCCATAAAAGACCGAATCGAACGAGCTCAACGCTCTTCCGATCAGCCTTCCATTTCACATTCACAACTGGCGCATCAAAGAAGGCCTCAATGGATACCCATGGATCCAGTACCATAGTACCAATGACAATAACGCAGCCATTCCCGCATCCATGCACGAAGCATTGACCACTCAAGGAAGTCTTTGACCCCAGGAGCAAGAAAAAAGTGCGTCTGGATTTTGAATCTTGTGGTTTCATCTCCTTCCTTAACAGTTGGATGATGACACCCCGAAGATACGGGCTTAAGGGCAGGCCTCGGCCTAGCCACAGCTCTAGACAGCCATGACCAAACAGAGCTTTATTCCACATCACGAANGTTACGGGCTTAAGGGTAGGCCTCGGCCTAGCCACAATAGAGCTTTATTCCACATCACAAAGAGACGTTCAGCCCTTGCAGACCAACGAGTCTCTAAGCGAGACCGTTGTTGGTACCCCATCCCTCCAACCCTACAAAGGGTCAAAAATTGAGCACACTTATACTTGTGCCCAATAAAGACCAATTCATAAGGATGAAAGAAGTTGCACAGCAATCGGGCCGATACCGGACTTAAGTCCTTGGTAAGCCCTTTCACTCTAAATCGCTTCGCAAACTCAGCACCTCCCGAGTCAGATATCAGAGACTTTTGGTAACTGATACTAACATTCAGTCGATGAAGATTTGCCTCATAGACTTTAGCAACAGAACTGTCAGCGATCACTACGTCGTCACCAAGTACTGCGTACTTAGTGAAGCGGACACCTGGATAAACCCTTTCCGCACACCACTATGTGATGTGAGAGTGNCGATCACTACGTCGTTACCAAGTACTGAGTACTTAGTGAAGTGGACACCTAGATAAACCCTTTCCACACACTACCACACCACTATGTGACGTGAGAGTGCAAAGAGCGGCCATGAAGAGTAATACTAGAGTGGTTGTCCCGCAACAAAAGATACTATCGACGGCCTACGCTTAACCCATGGAACTTCAAATAAGTTAAGCGTAGGTGCCGAACGCACAGATGAAGTGAACGACCGCACGACAAATCATTTTAAGTGGGTGGGTCTAGTTCAAAGTATAGATCCTGGTTCGGGTTGATTCATTGTACCACTTTATTCATATTCCAATGACAGGCGGTTAACCATAAGTAAGTGAACCAGATCGATTAGGTACAGTCCGACGTAAGTAAGCGGGGACAGCCTTTATCAGCAAAGTGGTCTCATAGCACTTCCCTCGGATTTAGCCAAGGAAGGCACAACGTTGATACACAGTTCATTGATAAATAAACCATGTCACGAGTTTAGCTAAGCAACTAGTTAGTTCAATCAGGACTGCCCTGCTGCAACCTAGGGATCACCTGGTGAATGGTCTTATGCAAGCATTAAGAAGTGCTCGTGTATTCCACTCTACATCGGGAAGATGAGCTTGCCGAGTTGGAGATATGTGTATAGAGGCAGGAAGAGAGAACGGGAAAGATGGCCGAGTTTCAACAACTGAACCTAGCCCTATGCCCTAGCCCTATATAGGAGTGAGGGAATGTAAGCGAACAAGGGGGGCAGTTGGCTCGTAAGCTCAAATTCGAAAATCATCGAATCGATTCGAATCGAATCGATAAGGGTCGAAAGAGAAAAAAGAACGGCTNAATTCTAAAATCATCGAATCGATAAGGGTCAAAAGAGAAAAAAGAACGACTTTTTAGGCGGGTTGAACACGCTCTTCGGGTCCCAGGTCATGATACTGATCAAACGTTTGATTTGATTTTATGCCTGAAATTGACATACATCTATCTAAGTAGTGTTCGAGATTCAGATCAGAAGGCTCGAGAGACCTCTATCTAATAAGGGAGTACTAGGGTTGGTTTTCAACCCCTTGGTAATCCTTTTTGTCTTGTTTCCGCTCCTCTAGTAAGGTAATGGAATCGAATTAGGTTAGCTTTTTCTAGTCGACCCCTAAGCCTAATTCCTGAAAGAATGGAATAGTATTCGCTAGCCTTTCAACCATCGACATATCTGTTCCCCGATCCAAGAGCCTGATCCTTCCACCCCCGAGCAAACCAAGTCACACGTTGCAGGGCCTGTTATCGTATTTCTTTAATTAGGTCACTCCAGTTCGTGATCCGTGGAAGGCTTTGATCTTCTCTTCCCGATTCCTATACCATACGCATCCATCCTCATCTAGAGCAATACTGTGTCCACCTTCATGAACTAAGGGACATGCGCCAGTTTAAAGTCAAATTCCATATCCACCCCAAAGACAATTATGAACCCAAAAGAGCAGGAGCAGGTTCGGGCCCATCTAGCTCAGCTTGTTATGGCGAGACAAGCAAAAGCCATCTTTAGGGCTGGCATTGAATGGTACACCCCCTTAGCTCAACTCTAAAAAGCTTTATACGCTCAATAGCGCGGTGTTTAAGGCAAAGAAAATGACCAAGCACGCAGGCTCTTTCCTAACACACAAGCTCCAAACTAAACTCGCGATAATAAAAACACGAAAAAAAAAGNGCTGGCATTGAATGGTACACCCCCTTAGCTCAACTCTAAAAAGCTTTATACGCTCAATAACACGGTGTTTAAGGCAAAGAAAATGACCAAGCACGCAGGCTCTTTCCTAACACACAAGCTCCAAACTAAACTTGCGATAATAAAAACACGAAAAGGGCCACTCAGCACGCTTTTAGCTCTCGCCTACTGACTAGGGGCATTGAAGCTCACCTTATAAACGAGAAAAAAGGATGAACAAAATGAGTTTCATAATCAATTGAAAAAGAACTAGCCAAGCTTCTTCACAAGCGAAGAAAGGGAGACGAGGCTAGACGAATCTACTACAAGAGGTGAAAGCACTTTGTTGCTATTGACTTTCAATCTCGATCTGCCAACTGTCAATCTAAAAGAGGCTTTGCTTCTTCATCCGTATTAGGATTTGCCTTGCTTGGTCAGGACTAAGTAATAAGCGACTAAAGAATCTGCCTTTAGCTCCGTGGCTCTAGTCGAAAAGTCCAAAAGGACTAGTGTTTGACCACGATCCCTTCTTCTCCCGTTGCACACGCAATAAGCCTTAATTATGGAAACCCTTTCTCCACCCTACAACCCTGTANTTTGACCACGATCCCTTCTTCTCCCGTTGCACACGCAATAAGCCTTAATTATGGAAACCCTTTCTCCACCCTACAAACCTGTATGTAGTCTATTTTCTTCTTTTTTCCCCCTTATATGTGCTTTTTCCCCCCCTTATATGTGCTTGTTCATTCTATTTTCTTCTTCTGACCGAACTGCTCTTTGGTTTGACCTACATCGATAGAACACATCTTTGTTGGTGAGACAAGAGATGTATTGGAAGAAAGTTTATTGGTGGTGATAAACAACTGTTTATAGATGAATATAAAGAATTCATACCTGAGAAAACTCGAATCCTTCAACGATCGACTTGAAAGTAAAGGACAAGTCAAAAGTTTTGACGGATGATGATGACACTCGACATGACAATAGTGAAGCAAGCGCGCAGCATATGAAGTACATGCTTTTAGTAGGTGTTCAGTAGGGTCAAGGAAGCGAAGAGATGAAAGTGAGGAATTGAGTGGTTCATTTCGGTCTAACTTCGTTACTGTACCCCGGTCTCACTCCGACAGCGTACTATCCTNCAAAGAGATGAAAGTGAGGAATTTAGTGGTTCATTTCGGTCTAACTTCGTTACTGTACCCCGGTCTCACTTCGATAGCGTACTATCCTAGACCTCTGTCTATCCCGACATTGATAGAAATTCATAGTTAGGTTAGCCAGCCCGGTAACCTTGACAAGTGGGAGTAACAATAACATAGGACCGTCAATCAATAAGATCAGTGACAAGAAAGACGAATTTTCTCCCTCTCAGCTCAAACCACTCTCAGGGAGAATGAAGTGAACACCTAAGGTTCAAGGATGAAGAGGATTTCCTAGAAAGAGCCATAATAACCTCACTTGAGACCAAGAAGCAAATTCGGCAAAAGAGACCAGGATTCAGCAAGTCACATCTGATGTAGAACAGTTGAAAGAACAAGTGAAGGAGATAAAGTGCCTCATGGCAACCCTGGTCAAGACACAGAAACCCCCATGCAAGAACAATCCAATAAGCTATCAGAATAAGGCAAGGGATTCCAAGATAACTATCCTCTTGTCTACAACAGCTTCATTGATTATGTCAACTCGCAGATGTCGACAATAGGTAGGGCGAGGTCATGGCAAGACCAAAAATCCCTATTCGGGATGAGAATCAATCCTAAGAAGCTCCCTGGAGAAAGGAAAGTCAATCCAGAACAAACATCTTTTTCCGGTGATCTTAAGGAATTCATCAATGATATGCAGCTAGGGCTAGGAGGAGATGGGAACAACAGAAGTTCAACCTATTGCCCATTTCATGGCTACAATTGTTATTGCATCTGGAAATGTCAGATGCGAACATGGGGGCCTCAGACACCTGACCAAACGTTGCGTTCACCTAGAAAATAAGAGACAAATCAAGATGAGAGAGAAGTACAAGCTATCATGATTGGGCAACCTCCCAAAGGGGATTTCTCTAGGATTCAGCCGATCCATACAGCTCGCCAACAAGTCCAACCAATGCAATTGCAAGTCCAATCCAGGGCAACCGCTCAAGCTCAATCCACCCTAGTCAGATATATAGGAAGAGTGGAGCACACTGAAAGTGCGACCCATTACTAGCCCTTCCGTCACAGTTGCTCCTAGACTTAGTAGCAGCCAACCTCATCAAGCCTATACCACTTAGGCCGATACCAAATCCACCACCCAAGAATTTCATCCCAAACGCATGCTGTGAATATCACATGGGTGGAGAGGGACACTAGACTGATCAATGCTACAACCTTAGGCATGAGATTCCCTCATTGATCAGCACCTCTGGGACCCATCCATCAAAGGCCTCGTGGAAATCACTCCCCAAAAAATAAATTTTGGTACCACTGAGGTCATGCCTATAACCGGTAATCATTTTGTGAAGGCTTATCTACGTTACATGTATACACGTGTAACATCTGCTAATATTCTATGTGAATTCACATGTTCACATCAGTTAGCTTGAACAAATCACGTTATCTCCCACGCTGATAGTACCCTGAATGTCAAGCACAAGGAATGAATCTGATAATCAGCCTCTCAAAATACGATATCCGTTTCACCTCGTATTCCTCTAAGGTCGTACACCCGACTCTTGTAGAGCCTTTGGGGCCTTGAGCTACTAACAAGGATGTTAACTTCGAGAGCATGACGAGAGACAGGCTTATCCCACTCAATAGCTCACATTGTTCAGTCGAATGAATGTGAACTGAAACCTCTCCGAATGCTCCATCCGTTGCCAGTTGCCTTCACCTCCGGGTTCCCAATCTACGACTCTTGGGGTAGAGCCTACTAATAGCTGATACATAAAGGCGCACCGAGCTAATAGAGCTGGAGCTACTTAGACCTTCCCCGTCTGGAATGAAGAGAAGGGCAAGCCAACTAACCTTTATGAAACTAGCGGTGCAGGGAAGGAGAAGAAGCTACTTCACCTAGAAGACTAGTATGTGCCAAAACTCACTTCTATTTATTAGACTGGACGCTACTATACGCATATGGTAGTGTTCTTGAGATTGTTATGGAAGGAATACTACCATTCTTCGCCTCCATCAAAGATGGTGGATTGTTATGTCTAAACTTCTTGGCGCCTCCCCTTACTGACTAAGGCTAAGGTGGTGTCAATCAAGGTTCTCACATGAATAGACGTTTGAATATTCGCTTAGTACTTTCACCTTCGATCACTCGGATTCGTCGTTCACCTTCTCAACGAAGCCTACTCGAACTTCTCCCTGCCACCATACCTGAATGAAAGAAACGAATAGCTAGAAAAACAGGCTATTCCATCGTTGGCATAAGATGAACCGAGGAATCCAACCAAATAGGAATGAATAGCTATATATAAGGGGAACTGCTTGCATTGATTCAATTGATTGGAAGCGACGGTTATACATACAGACATAGTTTTCACTAGGGGTTTTTTCTTTCCTAAGGGTTGGTCGAAGCAACCTCATCAGAAAGCCACTCTTCTAGAGTCTCGTCCATCGTCTACTTTGGCGACTATTTAATAGCCTTTAGCTCTGTCTGTGAGTTAGGCTACTCTACTATACTATACTATAGGCTCCCTCATCTGTTCTTTTTAAGAAAAACTCAACCTGGTTTCAATGAATCCCCAAAGAAGCCATGACCTATTTGATCCTTCAGCCTTCAGCATTGAGTCAAGAAAAGAAGAATTGGATCCGGGTGGAATCTTCACTTTCATGAGCAGGAGCTGGAGTTTAGGAATCGGGTGTAGATGCTGGCCATTCCATAGACGAGAGACCCGCTGACCCACTAGTGGTTTTCTAAGGGGAGTTGGTAAAAGACAACAGGTTCAAGNGCTTAGGAATCGGGTGTAGATGCTGGTCATTCCATAGACGAGAGACCCACTGACCCATTAGTGGTTTTCTAAGGGGAGTTGGTAAAAGACAACAGGTTCAAGACAAAGTGCACGGAGATGGAGCGAAAGCACAAGGCCAGTTCTCATCAACTGAGAGCTCCACTCCAAGAGAGGGAAAGCAGCACAATCCGTGAGACCTATGAATGCTTTGAATGAGATCTATTAGGCCTTTGACCATTCCAAATCCATATAGAACAGTAGAGTCGAAGAGAAAGCGCCTTTGATTTCCTTAAAGAAGGAATCCACTGCGCGCGCCTTCATCAACCAAATGGGAATCCAGGTGAGAGCCGTGGCCGGGTACGAACGATGGGGCGTCGAGTTCCAGAAGTCTCATGTTCGGAACGTGGGAGAGCTCGGCTTGGGGACGGCCTAAGAGANGTGCCGTGGCCAGGTACGAACGATGGGGCATCGAGTTCCAGAAGCCTCATGTTCGGAATGTGGGAGAGCTTGGCTTGGGGATGGCCTAAGAGAATTTTGATTAACCAACACGTAGCATGTGTTGGAAGGATGGATAGGGTCAACATACTACGAGTGGCGCTTTCCTAATCGAGATTCCTGTGGCCCGGTGGGCTTATGTACCTGATATTCATCTTAGTTCATTTGCTTTCTACCTACTGCTCCTCCTATTGCCTTTGATTGTGCCAGAAAGGGTGCCTGTTGCTTGTGGCGAGCGGGACAGAGGTCAGAGCCTGTTCAAATAGAAAGATTCCTACCTCCTGCTCCAGCTGCTAAAAAGAGTGATGAAAGAAAACATTCAAAAGCGAGGAAAGAAGAGGATCTCCGTTGAGTTACCAAAGAAGAGGGTATAGTTACAAAGAGCATAGCGGATCGGAGGTCGAAGAGATCGAAGACGGAAGAGAACAAGAGCAGTGTTGGTTTTAGAGAGATGTTTTCTTTTTCAGAGCAGAAGTCAATGTCAATTTAGAGACCGGGGTCAATTAGTGACCAGAGGTCAGGGGTAAGGGACGAAGGTGACAGTTCAGGTTGTGCCGACGCCGATTCCTATAGTGACAAATGATTCAACAAGCTATCTCACTGGCAAAGCTAATATAGCCCGCACGTTGAAGGGGAAGCTTCGAGAGAAGCGGGAACGTTCTGCTTTATATGAGTGGAACGAGTTATGAACTTCTAGCTTTTTAATAGCATCTGTTCTCTCGACGCTTATTGCTAAAAATGAGCTAGAACTTTGACAACGAATTGGGTAGGGACCTTTGATGCCTTGAGTTGATTAGATGCGGTTATAGCGTGTTTTAAAGAGAGTCGTCTAATACCAGTGATCATAGACTGAAGAGGGGATAGTGACCAGGCAGACGAGAGCGGACTTCGGAAAGCAAAGTTGACCTGATCTTTCGATTTCGATTGCTTAGCTTGAAAAGGGAAAGGGACAGAGGGGCTAGTTTCCATAGACCAGTGAGTAGAGTTGACTCGATTGTGACCAATGACCCGAGGTAATGCAGAGTGAGTTGACTGCCTTTCTAGTCCCAGTTGTTCTAGGAATGCCCGTTGCCCATTCTTCATACAAGACAGAGCGGGTTGCCAGTGATGGTTGTGCCTGTGCTCTTTGGAAGGAGAAAATACACTTTGAAATTCCTATGCCTTTCAAGAAATGAGTGATTTAGTGAAGTCTGGTATCTATTCTTTTGATCGAATCCGGTGATAGTCCTTCCTTGGCTTCTACTTGAGATTGGTTTGGTCGAGGTCGAGATTTTCTTGGTCTTCTTTTCTTTGTACCCATAGATCGGAGAATGTGAAAAGCTTTCTCTATCCGCTAGGTGCATCTCTTCCTTAACTCTTGTTGAGTAAGATGTTCTTCTTCTCTTATGAAAGCCACATCTTTTTCTTTTTTGACTTCTTTCTTCCAGTGGACGGACTCTCTTGCTCTGTTCCCTTTCTCTCTTTTGTCGAGTCTGCCTTATTCCTTATTCTGAGGGCTTTGTTTATTAACTTGCTTAATGCATAGTGGATCAAAAGAAGACTATTGAAGTTCTTGCATGCTTCCTTTAAGCTTGCTTTGGTACCGGACTACTTTAATTCATCAATAAGACTTTCGAAACACAACTCTATAACTTGGTGCTGGCCTACCGGACTACTACTAGCTTGAATTCGCTCAGTAGAGTACTGGCTTCCTTGCCTTAATGAATGAGCTTTCAGTGCGTGCTTGGTGCTTTCTTTATGAAATAGCATACTTTAAAATAAAACAACTAGCTTACATCAGCCTCCTTCTGACCCTTGCTTACTGGATGAATAGTTTCTAAAGAGAATACCGGAGAATAAGAACGATANATAAATAAAACTAGCTTACATCAGCCTCCTTCTGACCCTTGCTTACTAGATGAATAGTTTCTAAAGAGAATACCGGAGAATAAGAACGATAATGAAAGAGCTTCCTCTGCCGGATGGTTAGCCTTAATTGCTCACTCCCTCTCGCCTTGCTTTCTAATCACCACTAGCTTGAATGAGGATACTCTTTCTAAACTACTAGCTTTCTTAACTCCCTTTCTTAGTGGGTTAGGGCAATTTGGCTTATGGATCGGGAGCTAACGCTTCCTTGCTTGCCTTATGGGACTCTTTCCTCTTTCTATAGGGCCGTCACGGTCTATATTGATTCTATTTCATACTTGATAAAGAAAACTAGCATTAAAGCGCTTAGTAGTTGTCTCCCGCTGGTCTGGTCTCCCTTTCTTTTAAGTTTTAGGATCTTCTTAAAGAGCCATACCAAAGTCTTACAGTATTCTTAATACTATTTTGTTTGAACTAAACAACTATAAGTACTTCCTTGCTTTGGTAAGGTATGGGAGCAGAAGGTTATTCTTTTCTTGATGGAATCCCGGAGAATCACAACTAGACAAGAGAATCAGTGCTAGCCTTACCTCCATAGATATTTATCTGCAGTCTCGATTTTGATGATTCAACTTATCTTTGCGAGCTAGCCCGGTAACTAGATTGACTCTCCCCAAGCAAGAGTTTCCTATGTAGTTGGAAGGGGGCTGGTGGCTAAGCTTGCCTCAACTCAACGGGAACCACAACTGACAAACCGGTGATAAACATGGCCTGTCACACACTTGGCGGCGGATTAGCCCCGACCAGTCGATGTTCCTACGCAAGTCTGGTTGTGTCTCGGGTAGGTAAGGTTCAAGTAGTAGTGTAGTAAGGAGCCGGCATAAGGTTTTTGTTGTGATATTCCATCCGTGAGTTAACGAGGAAGAGCGGTGGTCGGATGAACAGAATGTCCAAGGATTGAGCTTGTTCATAAGCTTGCCAAGCTTATGAACAAGCTCAATATAGCCAAAGGCTGGTGAGGTGGGTAAGGGCAAGGGCATTGAGGCTTTCGTTTCGGGGAAGGGGTGGAAGACTGACCTTGATAACGATGTTTTAGGTGATCCCTGGAATCCGATTTTCTATTTTATTTCAATACAATAGTAGGCAGGGCTAACCGGGAAGGTAGCACCAAAGAGCATCCGGCATAGATAGTGAGTGAGCCCTACTGAGGACGGTTGGGTTGGGAAGAGAATAGCATACGAAGATCGAGTAGAGGTAGTAGTTGGATTGTTCGCATGTGTCCTAAAAGGTGCCCCATCCGGTTGTTATTGAAGCAATTCAAGCAAGTAACACCTTGAGCAGTCCAGTCCCGAGAATACTTCCTATAGTTTACCACGGAAAGGTAAAAAGATTAGAAACTAGCTAAAAACCAGCTACGTATCAAGGGCTCGGGCCTTAACGCATCCTTTATGAGTTGACTAAGTCTCTATAAATAAAAAAAGCTTTGTAGAGGCGATTCCCTCAGTCTACTATCGATGATTTTCTTAGAAGAACTGCGGCAAGTTTGAAAGCATGATTTGTGAAGCTTGAACAAGCGCCTCTCCGGTGGGGTATCTATAGAAAGCGGATTCTCCTCGCAAGGTGGTCAAANCTCGGTAACTAGATTGACTATCCCCAAGCAAGAGTTTCCTATGTAGTTGGAAGGGGGCTGGTGGCTAAGCTTGCCTCAACTCAACGGGAACCATAACTGACAAACCGATGATAAACATGGCCTGTCACACACTTGGTGGCGGATTAGCCCCGACCAGTCGATGTTCCTACGCAAGTCTGGTTGTGTCTCGGGTAGGTAAGGTTCAAGTAGTAGTGTAGTAAGGAGCCGGCATAAGGTTTTTGTTGTGATATTCCATCCGTGAGTTAACGAGGAAGAGCGGTGGTCGGATGAACAGAATGTCCAAGGAAGGAGAACTATCCAAGCTTATAAACAAGCTCAATATAGCCAAAGGCTGGTGAAGTGGGTAAAGGCATTGAGGCTTTCATTTCGGGGAAGGGGTGGAAGACTGACCTCGATAACAATGTTTTAGGTGATCCCTAGAATCCAATTTTCTATTTTATTTCAATACAATAGTAGGCAGGGCTAACTGGGAAGGTAGCACCAAAGAGCATCCAGCATAGATAGTGAGTGAGCCCTACTGAGGATGGTTGGGTTAGGAAGAGAATAGCATACGAAGATCGAGTAGAGGTAGTAGTTGGATTGTTCGCATGTGTCCAAAAAGGTGCCCCATCCGGTTGTTATTGAAGCAATTCAAGCAGGTAACACCTTGAGCAGTCCAGTCCCGAGAATACTTCCTATAGTTGTTTACCACGGAAGGGTAAAAAGATTAGAAACTAGCTAAAGACCAGCTACGTATCAAGGGCTCGGGCCTCAACGCATCCTTTATGAGTTGACTAAGTCTCTATAAGTAAAAAAGCTTTGTAGAGGCGATTCCCTTGGTCTACTATCGATGATTTTCTTAGAAGAACTGCGGCAAGTTTGAAAGCATGATTTGTGAAGCTTGAACAAGCGCCTCTCCGGTGGGGTATCTATAGAAAGCGGATTCTCCTCGCAAGGTGGTCAAAATGGCATGATGAGAACAAATGATAGGAATGACCAGGAATTCGTCCTAAAGTATGTGTCATAGGTTGACCACACGAGTGGATCTGGCAGGGTATGGTCCCTCGCCTCTATGCCCCTTTCCTTCATGGGATCGCCCGATTTCCATTGAGATGTTCCTCCCCACCCGGGTAAAGTCCCGGTTTCTATTTCTATACAGAGAGATGCCCATCAGATGAAAGTTTTTTACGGTCTCCAGGATTTTAATGACTATTCTATTTTCATAGGCAAGACTAACTAGTAGTTCCANTAGTTTCTATTTCTATATAGAGAGATGCCTATCAGATGAAAGTTTTTTATGGTCTCCAGGATTTTAATGATTATTCTATTTTCATAGGCAAGACTAACTAGTAGTTCCAAAGAAAGGAGCATCTGGCATAGGCAGCAAGCCTTCCCAAGGCTTTCTCCGGATGATCGGTTCTTTTTTCTTTCACATGTAGGTTCCTCCGCAGCAAAGATGGTTGGCTTGCGCTCTTACTTGGAAGTGGTCTCAGTAGCGAAGTCAATATAGAGGGTAGTCCTCCTAGCTAGGAAGTAGTTGATTCATCTTACGATTTGTTTTTACTACGTATCATTAAGAACTTGAATACTAGGGCAAGCCCCGTTCCTCAATTGAAAGTCAAATCACCAAGCAAAAGTTAGGAATTGGGCACCGGAGAATGAAACTTTGAGAATCTAGATGCTGTCAAAATGAGAGTATCAGGCACCTTGTGGGGAATCATTCGATGTCGGAACCATGTTATATAAAGAGTCTTTCCCACTACAGCCATTCCAGACATCCGCTTAGGCGCGAGTAACCCCTATGGGGAAAGATTCCTAAATAAACTCTTTCGGCTTCGGTACCTATTGATGAGTAGAAGCCTACNCGAGACATCCGCTTAGGTACGAGTAACCCCTATGGGGAAAGATTCCTAAATAAACTCTTTCAACTTCGGTACCTATTGATGAGTAGAAGCCTACATTCTCAAGCTATGCCGGTTCGATTTCTAGGTCCTAGAAACAAGGGATTCTTTCTCTTTGGTCTTCGGTTCAGAACGGTCCTGTAGGAGGTGCTTTCAGAGGAGAATTCTCCCAGATCAGCATCTGAGTCATACTATTCATGATCAATTATTTCAACCAGAGACGAGGAAGATACCTAGTAGTTAAAAAGACCTTAAAAAGGGCTATAGGCCAGCCTAACATAAAGAGGAATAATCGTCCACATTGTTTGCCTTTCTTAAGAAAGAAAGCCTTAACCATAGTAGGCAAGCAGGTAAACTAGTTGGGCTGTTTCCAGAGGCATTCTTTAAAGCAGAAAAATAAAGTGTTTCACTGGCAGTCCCCAGTCAAAAGGAAGTTGCCCATCAAGTATCTTAGAGTGCCCCTTATTTCCACTAGACTCACAACCAGAGACTGTAGGCCTCTCATTGATAAGATTCCCCCAAAAAAGGAAGGGTGGAATCTTGGACTAGCAAACGGCTTTCCGATGCTGATAGACTTCCGCTCATCAGATCCGNCTAGAGACTATAGCTCAGCCGAAGTGAATCTAGAAGGAGAAGTTGCTCACCCTCCAACTTCGAAGAAAAAAAAGAGTAAGTTGTAAGCAAATCAACCGATTTGATAACTTGTTTTATGTTCCGCAGGGAAAGTCTTCTTATAGGTCAATTTCTTCTATATATGAACAACAAAGTAAGAGAAGAATTAACGTTCATGTAGTAGTTTTTACTTCCCTTTCTTAATCTTGATGGCGGCTTGGTGGNAACATCTGGGCTTCCTGAATTCATAGTTACCTCTTATAAAGGTAGGATTGCGTGGGGCATCCCCGTTCCCAATGACTGTTCCTCCTGGAGTTGGAGGAAATTGNTTTTTACTTCCCTTTCTTAATCTTGATGGCGGCTTGGTGGAAGCATTCAACAAAACCATATGCAAACTCCTTAAGAAGATGGTTTCAGGGAACAAGCGAGATTGGCATGACTGCCTCCCAGAGGCTCTCTAGGCATACAGGACAAGGGTGAGAGAAGCAAGCCATGCTACGCCCTTTTCACTTGTTTGTGGGTGTGAGGTTGTGCTACCCCTCGGAATACAAATCCCGTCGCTACGAGTGGAGGTCCAATACGACATGACCCCTGATAATANCATTAGGTCCCATTGTTCAGAAGTATAGTAGTAGAATCCGTTATGATGCAGCTATCTTGGTCTATGCCAAAGTCAACACAATTATTGCAGAAAAAGGGGTGGAAGGCGGGTGAACTAGTCAAAAATGAGAGTCCGTAGTGCGCTTCGGAGAGTCTGAAATACCGGTGAAAGCTTCTTTAGGTAATGTGATTGCTCTATAGGCGGGTAGTTATCGCGGCTCAGGGCCAAGTGTGAAAGCAAGGTGCCATGCCAAGGAAAGGCGATTCATTTCAACCAAATGGGCAACAGAACTCAAATCGATAAAAGGAGGGAGGATAAACTTCAACGATAGGAGGGGAAAGAGAACTACAATCAGTCTACGAAAGTAATGTTAACAAGTGAAGTAGTGGAAAGATTAAGTAGTGAGTCACTCACATAACGGTGTTAGCTGTCCTAAGTTCATACTTAGTAGCTCATCAGATAGTCCGTAGCGAACTCTAGGAGAGAACTCAAGAACGGGGTTGTTAGCAACTTCAGTAGTTCGAATATCTATCTACTAGTGAGAGGCTCAAGGAAAGCACTTAAAGGCAGCTTCAGGGTAAACGATTTGAGAGTGAATAGCCCGNTATTAGCAACTTCAGTAGTTCAAATATCCATCTACTAGTGAGAGGCTCAAGGAAAGCACTTAAAGGCAGCTTCAGGGTAAACGATTTGAGAGTGAATAGCCCGTAGCTCACTTCTGGAAGTGTTCCCGTATATTATTCATAGGCGGGAAGCGAAGCAACTAGTCAACGGTGTGAGCCGAGTTTGTCGTTAGCTGTCGAAGTAGGGGGAGGGAAGTCCGGAGACTATAGCTCAGCCGAAGTGAATCTAGAAGGAGAAGTTGCTNGTGGGAAGCGAAGCAGCTAGTCAACGGTGTGAGCCGAGTTTGTCGTTAGCTGTCGAAGTAGGGGGAGGGAAGTCCGGAGACTATAGCTCAGCCGAAGTGAATCTAGAAGGAGAAGTTGCTCACCCTCCAACTTCGAAGAAAAAAAAGAGTAAGTTGTAAGCAAATCAACCGATTTGATAACTTGTTTTATGTTCCGCAGGGAAAGTCTTCTTATAGGTCAATTTCTTCTATATATGAACAACAAAGTAAGAGAAGAATTAACGTTCATGTAGTAGTTTTTACTTCCCTTTCTTAATCTTGATGGCGGCTTGGTGGAAGCATTCAACAAAACCATATGCAAACTCCTTAAGAAGATGGTTTCAGGGAACAAGCGAGATTGGCATGACCGCCTCCCAGAGGCTCTCTGGGCATACAGGACAAGGGTGAGAGGAGCAAGCCATGCTACGCCCTTTTCACTTGTTTATGGATGTGAGGCTGTGCTACCCCTCGAAATAAAAATCCCGTCGCTACGAGTGGAGGTCCAATACGACATGACCCCTGATAATAATGCTAAGCTCCGTTTAATTGAGTTATAATCTCTAGACGAACGCAGACTCCAGGCACAACAGAGAAGGTAATTGTACCGAATGACATGCCCCCGGTGAGTCAGCCCGTCTTTAAAAAAGGTGATCTAGTACTTGCTGTAAAGAAAGAGTCCGAATAGATTGGACTACAGTCCAGACTGAATAGTCAACTCAGGGTGTTCAAAGCATATGACTTGAGATGAAAGCAAACTCCTCTGAAAGTCCGAATACCAAGGAAGCCGAGTGGTTATGATAGCCAATAATGCTAGGCTGCCAATCTCTCATATCGAGAATGCTATATGCAGGCCTTGATGCAGCAAGGATTATGCGATGCTTAAGAACGTATATCACGTGTCTGGAATGGAGAAGAACCTGTTTACTCTATTATATAACCGGTCCCAGCTTGAAAAAGAAGGTAACAGGTTTGGCCCTGAGAGTGTAAAAATATATTCCATTGTACAGATAATATAATAGGGGACCTTTTCTTCCTCAAGTCAATAGGAAAGAGAGTCGAGTCAAGTCAATATATGTAATGTCAGTCGAATCAGCATATGTAGATCGAAGGCAGAAGAATGAAACCCTTTCTATGGCATGCGCTGTTGGGACACTTAGAATACAATAAGTTGCGAATCTTGATGAATCGCAACATGGTGAGAAGTCTTCCACTGTGTGTTGGAGCTTGTGAGCGTTCACGCTCTCAGTTCCCGACATGCACACACCGGACTTTTTATTCCCTCTCGATTCCATCCATATCCACCTATGTTGTGCCCTTCCTCCCAAAGCATTCCGACATCTGTTATTCCTGGTCTCACCCTGTGAAGCAAAGTCAGATAAGGGAGAAAGACATGGAATTGATAGGGAACCATAACTTACTAATATATAAGGCTAAGGCATGAGTCTGCAAAAATTTTATTCGTCGGTTCGAATTTGACCGGTTCCTACAGCGCTATTCCACCCATCCTTTGGAGAATTTCGAAGCAAGGTTGGCGGGCTGAGCCAAAGACTTCAAAGTAAGTTCAGGCTGACTTCNGAAAAGTTGTAGTAATTCTTTGGAAAAGCCTAGTTCTCTTTGTCTTCGAGCTTTCATTCCTCAATCCACTGATTCGTTCCTTCATATACCTCCCCACCAATAGATAGAGACAAANGGCTGAGCCAAAGACTTCAAAGTAAGTTCAGGCTGACTTCTAAACTAACCAAATCATGCAGAACTTCATCGAGAAAGGGATGCTGCTTGCCTTCTTGGAGTCCAAGAAGCCGATCCAGATCGACAAGTAGACCTTTCCTAAGCAGGTCCATACTGCCGGAGTTACTAAAATNATGTGATGCTCCTTGGTCAGATGACCAAGATATTGGCGAATACCACATATGATCAAGAAAAGAGTACCTATAATCACATGAAAACCATGAAAGCCAGTTGCTAAGAAAAAGGTAGAACCATAAATACTATCCGAAATAGTGGAGGGTNGTAGAAGAAAATCCATTACCAGGTTTTGTCGACGATGATAAATGAATAAGGGAAACCCGAATTTGCCCAATATAGCATATACGTTAATCGTATTGAGCTAATCGGAGCCTTGATGTGGTGGAAGTCACTCACGTTCAAAACCGGAGGTTTGTGCTCAGTCTCAAAAGATCGTTCAGCACACTGGAACCAGGGANCAAAATAGTGGAGAGTGCTTGATAATATTCCATTCCTTGAAAGCCTGTGAATACTAGAGCCAGTGAAACGGTAGCTACTAAAGCGTAAACTGCTCGTTTTTCCTTCCCCGCGAGTATAGCATGATGAGCCCAAGTTACGGCAGCTCCGGATGAAGGGAGAATAAGGGTATTAAGAAAAGGGATTTCCCAAGGATCTAAAACCCCAATCCCTTTTGGGNCTGTAGGGAGCTTCTTTGGAAGGGTTCTGTGCTTCAGAAAGCTCGGATTGGCCTGTACC